TCCTTACCAAATTTGAAGTCGATGACTACATATTTGAGACACCTATGACGTTTTAGAATATAGCACAGAATATTCCGAACACCCTGTACAATATGTGAAAACCGTAAATACAATACGTGCTGTACAGAAATTATCATTACAAAGGGAGACTGATCTTCAGTTTTTTGCAAATTACCGACGCACCCTGTACATTTTTAAAAAATCATCAAGAATAAAGGTTTTTGGCCCGGATCTTGCGCGTCGTTTGGTTAGAGAATTTTTTTGATCTCATATATTATCTTAGAGAAATATTTTTTTTCTCGATACCCTGCAAGTGCGGTTTTTAATTTTTAAAAAATACTTGTCGACCCCCCAGCGCCCCCAGTTTCAATAGACAAGGGGAATAAGCAATATTTTCATTACGGAGCTAAATTCTATATACGTGTCATACCGAAGTCCAAAAAACAGACGAAAATCTACAAAAAGTTAGTTAGTAGGTTAGTGTAGCTCGTGCACGGCTTAAAAGGAGCCAAATTTGAAAGTCGTGTAGCAAACCGCCAGGTCTACAGAGAAACGGAGAACAGAAAAAAAAGTTTTTTTTTCGACGCTGATCATTTCTGCACCAATGGCGGACCTACATAAGAGATACATAAGTTTCGTTGCCAAGCGCGTATACTTTCGAAAAATTCGATTTTATCGGTTTTTCGAAAGTAACAAGGCGCGATATGCCGCAATATTTTCCTACTTCTTTTTCTCTTCAGGAGGGAACGAATGAATTGTTTTCTCTATAGGCGCAGACCTCCGAAATTTCCGCCACGCACCTCAAGCAATGTCAGCAAATGGGCGTCGGATGGGCGTGTCTGCGCTTACGTTGACGCTTTGATTTACGACACCGCGAATTTCAATTTTAAATTGCGACCGTGCCCGGAGCCGCGTACTTAATCACGTTACCCCGCGAGAATTCTTTTTCAACGGCGACCGCGCCCTAGTTAAGTGACGTTTAGATTAGTTTGGGAGTGTTGGGAGGGGCGTGACGGCGTGTGAGAACTCGTGGGTACCGATTGAACCTCAGGCGCAGCTTTTAACGTACCAAATCAATAAAATCAAAAAAATAGGGTTAGCACCTAAAGTTATTAAAGAAAGGCTGGATAGTGTGTACGACCAAAGTTCTCCTTCATGTTCTGTAGTGAAAGAATGGACAAAACGTTTTCGAATGGGACAGGAGTCGCTTGAAGATGATGGTCGATCAGTGGAGATCATAACGGAAGATATTGTTGCGATTGTGGAAGAGGTGGTATTGAGTAATCGACGTTTAAAGGTCAAGGAAATCTCAGAAATTACTAAGCTTTTTGATACAAGTGTTCGTCGAATTCTGCATAATTATTTAGGTATGTATAAGGTTAGTTCAAGATGGGTTCCTAAAAACCTTTCGGCTATTCAAAAACAAGGCCGTACTGAATGTGCGGGGAACTCTGCGGGTCGAAACGCAAGCCTGTGATAGAAACTATTGTAACGGCAGATGAAATTATGGTTCTCTCTATCGAAAAAAGAATTAATGGAGTGGCGTCGTAAGGCTGAAGCACCTCCGAGAAAATTCAGAGTCTGCCAGTCAACAAAAAAGGCGATGGCCACGATCTTTTGGGATTGTAAAGGAATTCTTTTGATAGATTTTAAAGAAACTAATACCAATGTCAATGGTAAATATTACGCAACATTATTGCATAAATTGCGAGACTGCGTACGTGTAAAACGTCGAGGAAAACTGACCAGAGGCGTACGTCTTTTGCAGGATAATGCACCTGCCCATACTGCTGCTGTTGCACAAGCTGCCATTTTAGAGTGTGGGTTTCAACAGATAGATAATCCTCCCTATAGTCCAGATATGGCCCCCAGCGACTATTATTTGTTTGGATATTTGAAAAAGTTGACGAAGTTGAGTTAAAAGAGGCTCTTTTAGCTCATTTTGCATACAAATCAAAAGAATATTTTTCAAAAAAACCCACAGGCTACTGTAATGCTTTTTACGAAACTTCTGGATTCCTCCTGCGTCGGTTTTTGCTTAGTCGAAATTGCCGACGTTGCGCCAATCATTCTGTTGGCTTCTTCAGAGCTTGACTGAAACTGGGCTCTGACGCAGGAGGAATCCAGAAGGTTTCTAAAAAGCAAAAGAATATAGGGATTAAGTTGAGTTATACTTGTTTATTTTTGCGCCATTTTTAAGTTAGTGCTTCGAAAAATCATAGTAGATTTATGGAAAGAGAAAATATAGAGATATTGGTAAAATAATTAAAAAAACACATTCAACTGTACAGTATGTAATAAATATATATATATATATATATATATATATATATATATATATATATATATATATATATATATATATATATATATATATATATATATATATATATATATATATATATATATATATATATATATATATATATATATATATATATATATATATATATATATATATATATATATATATATATATATATATATATATATATATGATGACACTATATTCCGGGATATCATCCGTTCGCTCGTTGAACTCCGACTGGAATCCTGCAAATCTTGCATCCGACTGGAATCCTGCAGACGTTTCGCCAAAATCTCACTTGGCATCTTCAATGCTCGCGCTCCGAAAACACTTCGAACACTCGAAGTGTTCCACCACAATAATCTTTGGATGTTATACCCATAGAGCACCGGTGGGAAGAATTCAAGCGACGAGTGAAAAAACATCAAGTTACGAGTCAAGAAGACCTCAAAAATATGAAAGAAATATTGTTTTAATCCTTAATAGTAATAGTAATAATAGTGTTACGAAGACTTATTTGACATAGCTTCTTCTGCCTTATTTTGCCGATATTTACTTGAAATACGTTTCTCATTAAATGTAAGTGAGAGAAGAAACTGAAAGATAGCTGAAAAAATACTATCTATACGGAGACTTTTTTGACCGACTGTATATTGACAATGTTATTGATTAATAGTTATATAGGATATTAATGATCGTATTGACCATATTATAAACTTAGACTGCAAGGCGAGAAGCTACCAGTGTACTAAAAAAATAGAAATAGCAGTCGTATACCTCCGAGTTATACGAGAGCGGAAAACGAAGACAAAGGGAATAAGGAATATTTTCATTAAACACGCGCTCCGCTGGTGTCAAATAGACTCGTGAGTCACTATTTTCTACTCCCGTCTGTAAAATACCTAATTACACACCAATCTAGCGCACGGGAAACGTCACTTTACCGCGTCAGTTTCGTTTCACACGGATCCGAGCCATTTTGGACATTTCCGGGATATTACCGCACGGGTTTGGGAGCAATCGGATGTTTTCGGAGATTTTACGACACTGAATTTTGCCGTCATTACGTGCTATAAGTGGAGTAGTCGGTAAGTTAAGTGACATTTATAATTTAGGTTTCCCAGAGAAATTTTACATATCGTCAGCATCAATTTCAGTGCTTTTTACAGTTTTTATATTAGTATCTTGGCAAGACCAGTTGTACCATTTTCAAATATCCACGTCTCATCAGTACAAACAAAACAAAATTGAAGGTTAGGACCTGCTTTTTCTTGCTTATATGATCAAATAAACAAAAAAAAAGTTTTGATATTGTGTTTATTTTGTTGTGTATATGACATTGTATTATTATATTGAGTATTGGTATTAAGCACTTATATGACATATCCTATAATACGTCTCGCTCTGTCTAACATTTGTCTAACAGTTAAAAAGAGAAAACCATAGCAGAACCGATCGGAACGATAAACGAATAGGTTTAATGAAAACTAGTAAATACTTTGCTCGAATGGTTCGAAATCTAGTAATCCGACAGTCTGTTATTATTTTTAATTGGTTAAATTGTGATTTGTTGCAAAATACACCATTAAACTATAAAACGGGTTTTTGTGTTGTGTGTGTACTGATTGAACCTCGTCCACAGCTTTTACCGTACCAAATCAATAAAATCGTAAGACGTAACACTCGTGTGACGTGTGAAGATTTTGTTCTTGTTTTCTTAATTACGTGATAATCAAATCGAATAAAAAATAAATAAATAAAATATTTTACAAAAAGTTATCCACATGTATTGACGATGTTATTGATTAATAGTTATATAGTATATTAATGATAATATTTATCATCTTATAAAGTTATACTGGAAGACGATAAGATTCGAAAAACAGTATGGCTCCGAGTTATACGAGAGCGGAAAACGAAGGCAAAAGGAATACGTAAAAATTTTTAAAAATCGAGGTAACGCCAAAGCCCGTGGGTATTGCGGTGGGGCGCTGTGTACGCCAGTCAAACGTGTTGTTTTGCAACACGGAATCGGTGGCTCGTTAGGGGCGACGCTGACGCCGCGGCACGAATCATATGTAAAACACAAAACCGACGAATAGACTTTCAACTACAAACGTTGTTTCGGTTACCCCGATTCGCTTTGTATAATTTAGCGAAATTCGAACTGGCACAAAATGGCGCGGTGAAAGGTTTTTCGGGTATCATCGCCGCGCGTCTTTTGTTTTTGCCCGCTCACCCCGAAGGGCCTCGTTTTTGCTCACCTTTATCTCGCGATTAAATTTAAAGTCCATTATTCCGCCTTCCCGTGACGGGCGAATGTAAGGAATATCGAATAAGACGCCCTTCCACCGCCGCCTCAAATTTTTTCACTCTTTTTTTTTCTCTTCCTCGAGCTCCGGGCAATTTATCGGCGGAAATCAAATGCAGCTACCGCGAAAAAGCGGGACGCCGTTGTGTTTAGCATAATTCGTAAGGGTTGATCGGAAGGAACGCATACGAGTCCCTAGTACCGCAAAATCCCACTTCTGGGACGTGATTAAAAAATGGGGCCACCAACGTTCAGGGGTTTTCAACTCCGGGGGGCGGGAGTGCGGACGGTTAATTTAAAAGGAAAGATACGTCACTCGTTGTAGATGACACGGAGCATGTTTATCTTTCGCCACGGACCGTTAATAGTCGCAATACTTACGTATGGTAAGATTGATCCTCTTCACCGTCGGACACACCCTCCAGAGGCCGATCTTGAACGTGATATTCGTCTTGAGCGAAGGCTTCTCCAGCGGCAACGGCTCCTTGGTGTACAGCCACGGCGAACTGACGTATGCTACTAGGAGGGCGGCCAACGCTATCACGCCGGTAAACAGACCGAGTCGCGAAAGCGCGCTGCTCTGCGGACAGCACATTTTTCGCTCGATGCGTACAATTTTCTTTACCACACGACGACGGACATCTCTCCCGTAGAGGTGATTCACTGCGTCCGCCGGTCCGACATTATTTTAATCCCGGACATTCTCCGGTGCCGTTTCGTTTTTTTTTTATTCGACTGGAGTGTCACGCGCGTCGGCCATCTGAAAAAGGGAGATGATGTATGTTTACAAGCCGGTGACGTATCGCCCGTATTAAATTTCGAGACGAGTGCGCACTTATTTGCCGCTACCTCTAAACGGGGGTCGTAATGGAAATTTACAATGGAAAGGGGAACTTAAATCCTACCCACGATTGGCCAAATACAAAATATCAAAACATTGAAGTAGTGAATTTTGGTTAGTTGTATTCTCTTTGTCGATGGTGAAAGTGTGACATTTAAGTTAATGGGTTGTTTCTTCTAAAAAATTCTATAAACCTTAAAAAATAAAGCCCAACTTAAAGAATCTTCGCCCATATGAACTGATCCCCGTAGATCTCGAAAATATTATTTCAACCAACTGAAAACTTACAAAAGGAAACGTGTCGGCGCTCAGAAATAGTTGATTTTCTAATTAACAGAGCGAAAAATCCGAGCGCGCTCGGGGTCGAATTAAAACCGCCGCGGAAACCGCCAAAGTTCGGGAATAATTAAGATCCCGGAAAGTTCATCGCAAGAAACCGGAACCGGTGGCGGCGATAAAGGCGGCTAACTTTTCGCGGAGCATTCAAAAGAACTTCGCCAGACCTGCGCTAAACAGTTTTCCGCGAAAACAAAAAACGCACGTCGCCGACGCCGACACTGTGATGGTTAGTTTTAATTTAAATTCATCGTCGAAATGGTTTAAAAAATCACAATCGAGAGCTGTCTATTTCGCTCCGGCTCGAAGGACCAATTTATTTTACATTATATCGGTAATTCACCGCCGCGGAGCGGGGACGGTGGCGGCGTTAAAAGTGGACACGTCAGGACGAACACGGGGCGAAGAATTAACCGCCCCCGAGCGTTTTTCACGTAGGCGGAGGCGGTTGCTGACTCTCATCAGCGGTAGAGACGATTAATCACCCCCAGGAGGATCATTTAGCTTAACAAACAGGAACAGGACATGAACGGACAATCAGCGACTTGCTTAATAACCCTTACAGATTTCTAAAGAATCATTTATTACGCGGAGGCGGGGCGGGCGGCCCGAGGTCGTTAGCCGGTTTTCCTCCATATCCCTTTACTGCTTTAATGACGACAGTGGGACCGCTAGTATAAGGTAGAATAAGGAACTTTTCTTTTTTTTTGCATTAATTATCATTTGGCTGGGTGTAAAACCAGCATTCTCTAAGTAATATTTCTTCGCTGTTAATAAATTTTTTAAATAGGTTGCCATTTGGACTCGGTAGGGCCTAAATATTCCGCGAGATGCAGGGTACTGCGAACATAGAATTAGAATTATTTACCGGAGTTCAGGCTGTGCACCGCTAGTATTCAGTTATGCCCGGTGTCTGTTCTGTCTTATTTTGACTGGGTCGACTGACGAGCGCAGGCAAAATATGATTAAGAGAACGCAAAAGACAAAATTCCTAACTGAAAGTGTTCGAATCCTTCGCGTGGAACATTCCTTCGGAAATTTTCCGCGTCTATTTGCATATGGAATCGATTACCACTGCCATCGCCGGGAATTAGACCGACAGATTCGCTGGCCCGATAAGCCAATGCAAAATAAATAAAATACAAACGGCTTTAGCCGTCAGGCGGGAACATCTATCGGTCGACTTATGAGGGGGGAGCGCCTTCACAAAGTAAATAAAGTTCGCGCCAGTGGTGGAGGACGAGTTCACTGCCAGAAAAAGCTAAATTGACCGTATTTTCCAGAAAAAAAAAACTTGAAGTTACCCTATTCCTATGATACTTTGGGAGTAAAGTGTATGAGATGCGATACGAAATCTAGGAAACCCTTTTATTTAAAGACTAATGTCCAGATCGATTCGGAACTAGATTTTGAGTAAATCGAAAACAAGCCATCGCCGCGTTTAAGAGCCTGAAATGGGCGGAACGAGCAAAATGCGGTTGCATTTTTAAAATGACGTCGTAAACACCCTGTCATCGGCATGTACGGCCCCGTTTACATGGCGGCGACAATAGACTGTCGCTTTTATAGACCGCTCGACACCCCCAATAAATTTCAGATATTGTTATTTTTTACGGCCACGATACTATCGCCATTTTACGGCACTTTTTGATGGCTTAATTTTAACGCGAAGTTTTCCGTTGGCGACGGGAACAACACGCGACGTCAATTAAAACGTCCACTTTTGGATTCCTCCCGACTATTAATCTGACCAAAGTCGAAAGGTAATGGAGACCGGCCATTACACAGTCCATTAGCTAGGCACACAGACGCGAACCTACAAAGACTCCTCGGAGGCGCTCCTGGAGAGAGCTATTTCCGGCGCTCCGTGGCTGTCGCCGCGTTGATTACCCCCAGCGATGACCCCCTCTCCCCGAGCCGAGAAGACGTCATCGATGAAAACCATTAACTGCCATCGGACAGAAGGGCGAGGGGGACTAACGAGCTCAACCCCCTCCCCATTAAAGTCTGTGTTTTAAACAGCAATTACCGGTAAACGACTCTGGCAATGTCGCGCACCCCCGCAGCTTATTAAAGGGGTGGGGGTGATGCGGAGCTTGATGAACTTTTCGGTCGTTCGCTTAATAAAACCGACCTGCCAATTTTGTAATGGAATTTGTGGTAATGTAATGTTTATTTGAGTAAGTTAATACTAATTAAAATTATTTCAAAGTTTACAATTTAATCCCTTTCCTCTGAGTTACCTTTAGTTAGTAAATTCTTTTATTTCTTTGTATCATTTTACAGTTTTGTGCTAGATTACAATTATATAGCACAGTATGCTGGGACGTTTTTTCTTTTCAAAATTGAAACCAGAAAATTGGAATATTAAAAAATAAGAAAAAATTATATAAGGAACACTCAGTAAAGCAGCGAGCAGATCGTAAAGGATGTCTAGGTGCGCCCAAATTTATGCCCAACTCGACGACAACCAAAGTAAATTAAGTTAACCGCAAAGTAGGGGTGGATTATGCAAGTGACAAGTAACAGGGTCGTCTTTAATAACTCGGACGAGACGACTCCGAAAAAAAAAAATACTCGAGTGTCCACAAGAGTCTCGGTCCGCAGCGTGTTGGTTACGTAGCAGCGTGTTGGTTACGTAGGTCTACGAATTCCTACTGATCTGTCTCGCGATATCAAACCCTTGGAGAGGAACCCTAGTTAAGAAAGAGCATTATAGATATGTTCTTAATAAAGATAGATCGGACAGGAATTTTTTACAAAACCCGAAAATTAGAGTGATATAGTGAAATAAAACAGAACTAGATTAGCGTTACACGGGTTCTGATTTTCCGCTCATCTTCGACGTTAGGATTGCGGAGCCTACATCCGATTAATCGAGAAACCGGTCCGATGTTAAAGCAAACCCAAAACGCAAGGTAAGGCAAAACGACCAAATTAAAAGCAGCATACAGGTTCCAAATCCCTAAAATAGGTAAAACTTCCACAAAATTATGAACCTGTTGCTTGCAGAACCTCGACCAACGGAAAGGTGAAGCCGGAAAAACGCGCGATTTGCGTAGTTAGACCAAAGAAAAAAAGTAGATATCGTTGGGCTCTTCTAACGAATCGACATGGCTAATAGAGGCTCTATGTGACTGGAAAATTTTATAATAATAAGATGTATCTGGGTAGCAATCGTCGAGGTACTCGAAATTTTCTCAGTCGTGGTATCGATACTGCGAATAAAATCACTGAATAGTTGCGCACCTTGCCTTGTGCAAAGATATATTAAATTATGAGCTGCTAATAAATGGCACGAAGACAGTGGCGATATTTAGGGAGCTAAATGAAACTCCTCCCGTCATGCAAAAATGCGAAACTTAACGCGCTTTACTAGTTGCCTACAAGACGTAGCGGTAACCAACTAAGAAGATCGCTTACGTACTGATTGACGTATAAATAAATAACCTTTACGTCAGATCAATATCATACTTTACAAAGATTGACTTTAAAACTAACAGCCGTATGTAAGTAAGCAATTTTGATTTTAACTGCCAGTGAAGCGACAAGAATAATTGCTGATTCTACCGTATTTCATTAGTGCTCGAACAACAGCAAAAATTAATAACGTGAAAGGAGTCTTTTCGATATCCTGCCGCTATACCATTGCACATTTATACATTCGAACACAGAGGAAAATGATAATATTTACAAGGTAAAATTACTAGCAAAAAGCAGTAGTATCTGTAAGTAACGACCGATTTATCTTCCCAGATAGAGAGAAGAAAGCAATCAAAAACATAAAGTAAGATTAATTTGATGGAAAGTACCAAACACACTAGTAACACCCAAATACACAGGTAATTCTTTACTTTACTGAAAGTGGGATTTCCAGTTTGTTATTGTTTTCATTGCAGTCACAGTCGAATCAGCACAAGAATACGAAATGTAATGGTGGGTATACGACATGGGTCGCAGAACACCGTTAGTGCCACTACTTAGCGGTTTTGTGGGACGCCGTTTTTATTTTCATTCCGCTAATGGCGACGTACTCGAACATCCGGACGCAGTTCGTTCGACTGTTGGGATATTTACGATCCCTCAGTTGCCGGCACTGCGGTCCGCCTGCCTGTTCGTGACATATAATTAGTTATCTTTGTTTGGATGATCTCCCCGTCGGTTGGCAGTCGCGCTTTGATTCGCTGATGGGGTATCCGCGAAGCGAACAGCCACCAAGGGTTGACTTTTGTGCGTCATATTTTCTAGGCGATTAACACGTATTCTGTTGGCCGGTTCCTAAATATTTAGTGAATGTCGTCATATAAGTGCTGGTATGGTCTGTTCATAGATATAAGAAAGTGACCAATTGCTTTTGAATGGGATTATCCAAGGGTGGTCATTACCATACAATGCAATAAAATTCGGAATTTAAATTCAGGTAAAATTGTGGTCCGTAATTGAAAATAATTTTATGCATGCCTGTGTTTAATATTCTTAGGTTTGGTATACTACTTAGTCTAAGTTTATTAGTAATCATCCTCATTTCGTGTGTAATACAGCATGTGTCGAATCGTGTGCGAATTATGTAGAAAACACTATTCTATTCTATTCTATTGAGACTAAGGAAGTTATAAACAATGTTTATTTGACTCTCATTGAACATGGTGCCAGCAAGCAAGCATCTTTAGAAGATACGGCCACATTGACGAAAATTCCAACATTAACTGTATGGAAAATTGTGAATAATCCCATTTCAGCGAGGAAAAAAAGAAGCGATACTGACATTTTTTCGAGTGTAGATGAAAGTGATCAAGATATAATGCGGCGTAAAATTTACCAGTTATACAAGGAACAAAGCGTGCCTACATTAGATATCTTAAGTCGGAGGCTTGAAAAAGATGAAACCCGTGTTAAATGTGGCAGAACTACCTTATGGCAGTGTATTCAATACATGGGTTTTAGATTTAAAAAAATCGCCAAAAGGCAAGCTTTAATAGAATCTTTTAGAATTCGGAAATGGCGACTGGAATATCTAGAAAAAATTAGGATTTACAGAGAACAACAAAGGCCTTACTTGGATGAATCCTGGTTCGACACTTATGATACCCCGGAAAAGGGTTGAGTTGACTCAACTGGTAACTGTAAAACAAACGCGCCATCAAAAAGAGGTAAAAGAATAACTATTTTGCATGCTGGCTCAAAAGATGGTTGGATTCCAAATGGACTTTCTCTGTCTGCGAAAAAATTAAAGATTCTTCTCTGGATTACCATGAAGACACCACCGCTGATTTATTTGAACATTGGTTTAAAAACAAACTAGTTCCAAACATTCCTCCTAATCGCGTCATTATAATGGAAAATGCAAGTTATCACAGTATCACAGTTGACTAAACCCCCCCTCATGGGACACAAAAGCAACAATCCAACACTACATGTATAATAACGACATTTATTTTCACCAAGATTATGCCAAAAAGCAATTAATTGAGGTTCTACAAAGCTTGAACCTACAAAAGGAATACGTCTGTGATAATTATGTAAAAAATCTAGGGCATACAGTTCCACCTTACCACTGTATATTTAATCCCATTGAACATGTTTGGTACCAACTGAAATCTGCCATTCGTCGGAAAAATGTTTTTCCACGTGTTAACTCCAATGTACTCAAACTTATAGAACTCGAAGTTTTTAACATCCCTCCACAAAGTTAAACATATAGAAAAAGCAGAACAATCGTGTATCCATATTGCAAATAATAATTAGAACAGGCGATGATAGCGACAGTGATACTGATATATTATGTGAACAATTTAAAGTAATTTAAGTAGGTAATAAAAATAATTTGTAATTTTATTTTAGTTTAAACATAAATTCGTTCATAAATAAATAAATATTCTTTAGTATCTTTCCTAACAAAACCCCAAATAATTAAATTCTAAGCAAAGTACGGACCTGTTGGGCAATATTTCATTCTTACAGCTTGCCCGGGTATTTCCTTAATTCGTATGAGTTAGTCATTTTCTTATATCTATGAACAGACTTTACCTATTCCCCAATTTTCACATAATTTCAGATATTTTGCAGGTTGGATGTTACCCGTGAGTCATTCTCAAAGGTCTTCTTTTCAAATTTAAAATCTAATCTAAATCTATCTATCTAAAGTTAGATCAGATATTAGATTATTTACATTACTCCTTTGCTTTAGTTGTAGGCTGCTACATCGGTTTTCTCATACTACCAAACTTCTGAGTTCCTCTACGAAATAAATTCTAAACAAAAAAATACATTGGACTGTGAATGAATTTCATTTTCCGTATTTTATATTTTTCCGCGGATTATAAACGCTTTCTTTGCCAGAGGCGAAGGAGAATATGAAAACTGAAATTTGTTTTGTCAGCGTCGCGAGAAAAAACTCAAACAACGGCTGAAAGAGGGTCTCTCCGACTAAGGCCGTGATTTGCTCGAATTTAAAAAACCCGATAAAAAAAAGGCAATCATACACCGCCGAGTTGTGTGTATCTTCGCCCCGATAATTGAGTTACGGATTTTGCGATGCGCACCCGCGTCTTTGTCGTGCACCTACCCTTAAAAATGCACTAGCTTTAATTAAAAATAGCCGTCGCTTTCCTCGAGCGAAGCCTTTTACCTCTGAATCTGGATCTGGGCACCGGGAGACGCGGGTTTGAAATTTCGATGACGACACCCTCACACTGAAACTCCGACAAGCGTCGCGACGACGTATTCCAATTGGCGCTCCGAAAAACGACACCGTCTGAGTCGCCGTCACGAAACAACTGACTGTCGGGTGGCGAAAGCTCCGGCGGTGCACAGAAGCTCCGGCATGCGCGGCCAACGAGCGCGCTTGGTTCTGACGTTTCGGCCGTCTCGGGCGCCATCGTCCGCGTTTCTTTTCCTCCAATCGCGGGTTTTAGGTACGACCCGAGGTGCTTTGTAGTCTGTGTAGCATCTGACTCTTTCTCTCCAGTCGTTATTATTCATGCTGCAATCCTTCTGCAGGCCTCTCTATCCTCTAGGGTTCTCATAACTTCCGCTACTGACATGTTTGTAAGGTCCTTGATCTTGTCTATAAATCTAACTGATGATCTGCCCCTCATTCTTTTGCCCTCCACTTTCCTTTGGATCACAATGCTCTGCATACCATCCTTCCGCATCACGGGACCAAAGTATTTTAGAATACGTTTCTGGATTGTTGGAAGCAGACTTTCGTGATCCCGAATATTTAGTTTACTACGCCTGGACATGTTTGTTATGTGTCCCCTCTAAGGGTAGCATATCATTTCAAACGCCTCTATTCTCTTGCGGATGCTGCATCTAATGTACAAAATTCCGACCCATAAGTGGTGATGGAGAATATAAGCGCTTTGAGAAGTCTCATCTTGCTCACTTTCTGGCTGTTGTGGTCTTTCCAGATTTTAGCCAGTCTACCCAAAGCTTGGAGTCCTCTTTGCTAGTTAGTTTTGGTTATATCATTAATGTGTGGAAGTGGCATTGGGATTGTCTGAGGTTTATCCACAATCACCACAGAGCATTTGGACCTATTCAGCAGTAGATCTGATTTCAAACTAGCAGCTTCCACACGTTGAAGGAGTTCAAACATTTCTTGTTCAGTTTGTGCCAGAACTATCGTGTGATCCGTAAGTGTGACACTTTCGTCCCTCCAATAGAGACTCCGCCATCCCAATTTTGGAGAGCCCCCCTGATGATCCATTCTCCGTAGATACTAAGGAGAAGTGGGGACAGAATGCAACCCTGTCTAACGCCATTTCCCACGTTGAATCCTGTTGAGAATTGCCCTTCTAGTTGTATGTGGGCTTTGTTCTGGTTTCTTCTTGTCTTGTCTCTGTTCTGGGGGGATCTGTGGTAGAAGGTAATTCTTCAATCGTTCCTGTATGATTGGCAAGACAACTTTACAGGCTCCTTTATTTATGCAGACGGATGTAGATTGATTCGGTCCATCTTTCGGGTCATTTACCTTTGCGCAGATCTGACGCAGCAGATCTATGGCTTCCTTACCGCTGTTCTTTAGCATTTCGGAGACGATGTTGTGTGATCCAGGAGATTTGTGTATAGGTGGTTCGCGTTCCTGGATAAGTTTTAGATCCTCGTCGTCCTGCGCGTCCTCATCTTCTGACGCCATCAGATTTTCACAGTATTGCCCCTCCATCGTTCTATGATTTGTTGTTAACCTAACTCCTTGGGGATCCTTGATTGGGAGATTATGAGGTTGGAATGTTATTGAAAGAATTCTAACTTTTTGAAAAAGATCATTATTTATCATTATTTATGCTCATGCTGATCGTTTTTCCAAGGTCGCTATATTTCTGTCAATTGTCGCCGTAATAGGTCCCTCCTTTCGGATATGAGATTCCATGTTGGTGAGGTTATCCAGGGTTTTTTGTGATGGTCATTCCTGTCGGCATCGATTTTATGTATGAAAGCGTGGTTGTTATCTATATTGCAGCGCGTTATCCAGACCCGGATAGGTTTTGATGTCTTTAATAGAGGTTTTCCATCTGCTCTTTTTTAATATATAATAAGAGTTAGCGATGAATAGCTGATTCTCTGCACAGAATTCGAGCAACATCTCTCTGCGTTCATTCATGGTTCCCATTCCGTACTACTCCACAAGGGATCTCAGGTGAGAGTAGGCTGTTGTTTGTCCATGGCATTGGTATTCTTGGAGGAGTGATACATAAGAGCTTTTTATGTCATCCTTCAACGATGTATCTTCTGAACAAAGACGTATTCCTGATTTATCTGTAAAAACTTGAACACAGAAAGCAAAAATTAATGTATTTTTCATCGTCGTCTGGAGCCGAAGGTCATCGCTAGCGTTCGGATTAAATCATCCAGCAGCAGAGGGCGCCACCCTCCCCGTAATCGATCAATCCGGTTTTTTTTCACATTCGCCCCGCACCCCCTCAGTATTTTTGATTGCAAATCTTTCGGTTGCGACCATTAGAAGCACGCACACGTGCCGCTAATGGTCAAGTTTCGCCCGGACGGTTTTTTTTTTTTCGAAGCCACCCGCGCCCCCGTCCCCCGGGGCGGTTGAAAAATTGTGTTTTTCCTACATGGGCGGTGTTTTTGCGGTTCCCGTTTTAATGGGGCCCCCGAAGACGTGAATCTCACTTTGCGAAACGACCGCGAGGCGGGCGAAAAAATGCGCTTGTATAAAATACGATATCGTGGAAACGCGCGATTGCCGCTTCGTGCGGGATGGGGATCATTTCGGTGACGTATGTAGTGGTATCTCGGAAGCTATGAACGATGGAAAACCGGTTAAACGAGCCAAGTTCGCGCGGTATTTCGTAAATGCCGGAATAGACGTTCCGTCATGCACATCGACTTGCTTACACAAACTTAAATTGTACGATTTATAGCAACGTTAAGTTTGATAAGTCATCATGTGTACCGCAAGGTTCTCTCCTTGGACCTATATTATTCCTAATTTATATTTTTGATGTTTATACATCCATTGAATATTTAAATTTGCGTTCATTTGCTGATGACACTCAGCTATTTTCCTCACTCGATCCCAAATTATTCGATATTGCTTCGATTTATATCAAAAATTGAACTTGATGAAAATCTATTTATCAAAATAAATAAGAACTGAAAGTTCAGATTTTCACGAAATTATATCTTTTGACATGACAATTTTTTATCAAATGTAATATTTACAAACTACCTGCTACTATATATACCGAAAAATGACCATAAAACCTTAATTAATGTTGTAGTGCGAATTTACGTTCAATAAAGGAGAGGTATTGAAATCTAATTGATCGTTAAGCAATACATTTGAATGTCTCATTTTGTTAATCTCCATGGCTTCCGATAAATTTAACTGTATGCAAAATATTAAAATTGTCGTCAAAAATGTGTTTTTCTGTGTTTAAGTGTGTAGCATAATTAGAATCCAGACTATTGTTTTTAAACGCTCTTTTATGTTCGTTAATGCGTTTCTTGAAGGATCTACCTGTTTGTCCAATGTAAATTTTAGGACAAGATCCACATTTCAACCTGTAGACACCTGATTTTTGGGATTTGGGGACATTTCGTTTTATTGTTTTTTAAATATTTTCCTATTGTGTTGTTAGTTCTGAAAGCTATTTTTAAGTCACATTTTGACAAATGTTTTGAAACTTTTTCACTAGGTTTGAATTGTTCGTATTCTTTATTAGGTTTCGGATAAATAAAGTTTACTGTTGTCGGTATTTTTTATTTATAATTTTATCTATATTGGACGGATTGTAGCCATTATTCAGTGCAATTTGTTTAATGGTATTAAGAAGTCTGTGTATAAAAGAGTTAGATGCAGCCATTTTGTGTGTATAAGGGTGATTTGAGCTGTTATGTATGACTGTGTCCGTATGTGAAGGTTTATGATATATTGAAAAATCCAATTTATTTTGGAAACTTTTAGCTCAATCGCTTTCGATTATTAACTATATTTTAGTCCTCTTTTATCTTTGTCTTGATAGCATTAATAAATAAAGAATGCAAAAAAAACTGTTGCAGATTTATTTTCGGCTTGACCCCGACAGACTCTCACTGCCACGATATTTTCTTATAACACTTTTGTAATTTTTAATAGTGTACTCAATTCAGTAAAATCACATTCAATTAAATTCTTTAAAAAATATTTCAGGTTTAAATTGCTAACTTCTCAAATAATTTAATTTTCAATGTTATTCATTTTATATTTACTTTTAATCACTTTCTATGGTACATATTATTATCATATTCAATTTAAACATTTATGAGGTTAAGTGGAATAGCTTTTACTAGACTTCGCCTCTTCTCTACTGTATATTTGTATATAACAATATACAACAATGAAGGCAATTTATTATTATTATTATTATTATTATATTACGTAAGCCCATACTTTTTCTCAGAATATACAGGGTGTATGAAAAAATATTAAATACTCAAGTCATCTGGTTTGAAACGAAGTTTTATTTTATTATATTTTTGCATATACAGGGCGCTCAGTATTGCCTGGGTAAACACAACTTCTTTTTTTTTATATGGAATATCCTGTATATTATCACATTTTTTGGATTCTACTCAAGTTTCTAGGAAAATTTCATATATAATATTCAATAAGTATGTCTATTGCTTTTTGACATGTTCAGGTGTTTATCTCAAATATGTAATTTTCAGACCCTAAGAAAAATATCGATTTTTTTTTAAATTTGGGTTTAACACCCTGTTGACGACAACCTGCTTTAATAGAATTTTTATAATATTTTGATAACAAATAATACAGGGTGTTCAAAAAGGAAGATTAAATACTAAATTAAGAAAACTTTCAAAAATCATTTTTTTAAATGGAAGCCCCCAAATTTTATGATTTTATCTTATTTACCATTAAAATTAAAGGAAAGTTTGTATAAGGTTGTCTATGCTGAAAGTTTTCGAAAGATTGACAAATTAATATTTTGGCTGCGGGTTTCAAGCTTCGTTATATCCATTCTTAGTTGATTAGTTAAAAATTTATGAGGCTGGCAGTTACTATTTCAAAATTATAATTTTGAAATAGAAATTACACTGGTTGGCAATGAAATCCTCCTTTAAAGATTTTTATGATAAAGATAATGGTGACATTGTACACCAAGTGCTTGGCGAGATATCGCACGTGAAAGTCAGCATAGCTTCTTCCTGTTGCTAAAAAGCGTTTTTTTTTTCACAACTGCATCCATCGTTTCGATGTGAGGCGTTACGATCTGGAGCAATTCCATATCAGGTTCTTCGGTC